GGCCTCATTTTAGAGCTGTTAAGTGACCCTAACTATGAGATTTCTACCTTTCCCTTGTAGACAAGACTAAAAAGCCCTTTAAAGATAATTTCAGCAGAAAGAAGAGTTCTGATGATGCAATTTCAAAGACAATGACCCAAATAAAAGTGTTTTTCAGTGGAAAATTTAGACAAGACTAAAAAGCCCTTTAAAGATAATTTCAGCAGAAAGAGGAGTTCTGATGATGCAATTTCAAAGACAATGACCCAAATAAAAGTGTTTTTCAGTGGAAAATTTAATGGGTGGATGTTGCTAGGCAACCAATATTGCAGTGTTTAATCTCTACCTTTCCTAAGGAATTACATGATGGAAGAAAATAAGTCTTTTCAGCATTTCAACATAATAGTTGTATCTGGCAATTTTTAATGCTATTTTAAAATAAAGTATCTTTCATGCTGAAATAACTATAACTTTTGTTAACATTAGTCTATCCCCATTTTTTAATAACTTGATTATACAATCCATAATGATTAATAGGAGTGCACTGAAATTACCAAAAATCAATCAGCAATTTGCATCATTATAATAAATGCTACCAGTGACAAAAAAACAGATTTTGGTCATCAGAATTTCAGTGCACATACAATTTATTTGTATCAGTACTTAGCAATATACATGTAGAAATGTGAGTTTCAAAGGGAAAATAAAACTTCTCCAGAGATTAGTTAAGAAACAGCCATGCTTCTATAATTTTATAATTTGAAAAGAACTTATATGAAGCTAAGACCTTAGTTAGTATGCCAAGTATGTACGCTTCAATGCCTACACAAGTTCGCATGAAATTGAACATCCTTAGATTACTTTTATTTTTATATTGTTTCATTTGCACAATAGTATTGTCACAAATGACATATTTAAATAAATCTAAAAAATATCATTAGCATTTTCAAATTCATCTTAGGATAAAGAAAACGGGATTCTGTTAAAAAAGATTTGAATTTGATAAGCTAGGAAACAATTCTTAATGTGGTTCATCTATAAAATGGAGATAAGGCTAAACCACACCTATACGGTTACAGTAAGAATCAGAAGTACTATACAAGGGTACTTCAAAAAGTTCATGGAAAGATTCATATTATCTTATAATTCTGTTTTTCCATAATCTTTCTGAAATGCCCTCATATAAAGTACTAAGTTCAATTAAACAGCAAAGCTGTTGTTGTCACAGATACTGTGTCTATCATTATAAAATGGAGAGCTGAGATATGAGATTATTTTTCATCTACATAGATATTCACGCTGCATTAAACCTCCACATTTACCAGTCTAGGATGATGATGACAATCCTTAAATTGTTGGAATCACCCAGGCATTTGCTAATTCTTATTTTCATGTTGCTATAACCTTGATTTTCTACTGTATCTTGTTATCAAGAATCTACCCTAGTATAAAAGAATTTATAACAACCAAGGCCAAAGTAATTTGAATTAGCTATTCAGGATTTCTATATCTTATCTACTATTCTACTAAAGAACTGAAAAATAGAAACCTAGGAAACAGACTTAAGGCTTCTTTCCAAGAAATATAATTATGTTAGTTAATGCTTATAAAATGATCTCTCCAATGTCTAATTTAAGAGTATACTCATTTCTATTACCAATTCCTTTCATCATCCATATTCATACTTTCTCTATAAATAGAAGAAAAGGTACATGTTAATAACTGAAAAGAGTTTGTGACACCTTCCACAATTTAACAGTCCTGGCACAGGAGAGTGGCAGGGAGACGTGGGCAGATTTTATTTACTAACCCTTATGGAAGTCAATATTAGCTTTATATAATAAAAAACAATTAATCTTTGTGCATCTCTGACATTAAATTTATGTTGAAAGTGAATGTTAGTTTTTTCCTCAATATCAATCACTTTACAGATGCAGAAACTGAGGCCCAGAGATGTTGGTACATCAAGGTCCCCCAAATAATAGTATGATCCTTTTATCAGGCTCGTTTTCTCCTCCATTTTTAATACAGATAATTAAAAAAAAAATAGTACTTCTATTCTTAGATAAAGCTGGCAAAACAGGCATCTTATGCAAATTAACAAGAGAATTTCAAAACTAGATCACTAAAATAAAGTATACCCCAAGTTCATTTTACAGCATTTGAAGGCTCAGACTTTAAGCTGGAGTATGTTTGGTGAGTGGCAATTAAATTTGCAAAGATGTCACATTTAATTCCTCTCCTCTCTGACTATGCAACCTCTTCTCCCTACAAGAGATAGATTTCCTCTCCCTGTGAATCTGGGCTGTTCTTGAAACTTATGTTAAGAGGCCTGCAGCTTCTGCTTTCATGTGTTCTTGGGGAAGCCACTCACCATACTGCAGAGCAGCGGCGGGGGCTAGAGAGAAGTGGAGAGAGACAGTCCATGTGGAGGAGCACCAAACTGCCAGACCTGTGAGGGAAGCCTTGTCAGACCTTCCAGACAAACCCAACCACCAGCTGAATACACAGCTGAAAGAGTAAACCCAGCTAACATCAAAGGAAACAAAAGAACCACCATAGTTTGGTTATGGATGAATTCTTGACTGACTGAAGAATCATAAGCAATAATACATCATTATTACTTTTTAAGCTACTGAATTTGGAGTTGGTTATGTGGCTACAGAAAACTGAAATGAGGTGTTAGACAGCAGCACTAAGTTCAAATGTGGAGTTTTAGCTCCATTACATACTATAATTGCCCAGGAAAACACAGAAGAAAAACTAAAATCTACAAGTATGTAGTAAGGAAAACCCACGAAGGAAAGAAATTTGCACAGTTGCAGATAGGGATGGAGCAAGATGAAATACAGAATTAAGAGACCTGGTTTCAAAAATACTGGACATGGGAGTCAAAAAATTTGGGTTCAAGACCTGGTTCTTCCCCTTGTTGGTAAGAACCCATTTGGCTATGCTACATGTAGACCCAGATCTACCATTAGCTAGCTGATTGACTTTTACAAGGGACTTACCTACTTCCGCATTTACTCTGGAAGAAGTGATTGGTTAGGATTAATGACTAATGAAGAAGACCTTGAAGTGGCCCTTGTACTAAAAATGTGATCCAGATTGGTGTTCAGGAAACAAAACAAAACACTGAATATTTTTTAAGAGCATACGGCATTGTATTACTAGGTGACTGACAGACAAAACCTGGCTTTCAAGCAGTTTGCATTTTGTGAGTTATAGGGTAATCCAAATATATATAATAGGAAACAATATGTAAGTACAACTCACAATAAAGATATAAAGTACTATGGAAATTCAGAGAAGATAAACTGAAGTGGCATTAAGAACTGCTTTTGGAAGACAGGTTAGATTTTGGCATGCAGAAGTTTACAGATGATGCATTATTAAGAAAACACATATTCTAGGCAAAAGAAATGACAGCAGCAAAGGAGTCACTGAGATGAAAAAGAACAAAATATTCAGAAAGAAAATTTTAGGGAACAGCTTGGAAAATAGCTTAGAACACAACATTCTGGAAGACCTTAAGTTGCCAGAGTCTAGACTTCACTGTTAGGCAATAGGAAAACACTACACATTTAAATTTTAAAAAGACAAGGTAACACATTATTTTGTGAAAATATATCTGATCAGAATATTTATAAGAAAAAGGTAAAAATGCTCAGAAAAAGACTTAAACACAGAGAAGAGTTACAAAGGGTTTTAATTATCCAAGGCATCATAAAGAGAAGAAAAACTGAACAAAAATGGTAGTACAGTAGTCAGAAAATTATAGAAAGGGATAATTAAAGAAATGGATAAAGAAACTGACAAGGCTTGGTGACGTACTGGACACTGGTAAAGGGAGAAGTCAAAGTGGCAGGCTTTGAGTTGGGGTGATAAGAAAAATTAGGTGAATGTGTAAAGTCAAGAAGGAGCTCACAAGGAGAAGAGGGAAAGCAGTCTAATTTTGTTTGCTAACCATTTTAATAATCATCCTCATTATGAAATGCATAATTAAAACAGGTTTTAAATCTAAGGTTTATCTCCATAGGCTAGGGTAGAAAGATCTTCCCCCACTCACAAACTAGTAGATACTGCTTAATAGTAAGTACCTGAGACATTCAGTATGTGATGTGGATTGCTCTTCTTAGCTTCTAAACTCCTTTCCTAGCACTTTTACCATTTACCAAAACCCAACATTTTTACCTTTATTCTTCTAAATATTCTTCACTTGTCAAGGCCTTTGCTAGACCCCAGATCATTCTCAAAGATTTATAATCAGCACACACTACCAAGGACAAAAATACCTCTTGTAGTGGGTTGAATTATGTCCCCACAAAACTCAGCGAAGCTCGAGTTGTGTCCCCCAAGTTTTATGTATTAGGAACTTAGCCCCCAATGTGACTGTACCAAGGGTAGGAAATCCTACTATGGTAACTGTAAGGTGGGGCCTTGAAGAGGTGAATGGGTTGTTAGACAACGCAGTAGTGAATGGATTAAAAACAGTGGCCAGGGGCGTGGTTCTGAGAGCTTTAAAAGAAGAGGAGAGTCTGTCTGTCTGTCTGTCTGTCTCTCTCTCTCTCTATCTGCTTCCACCATCTTGTAGTGTGAGACCCTTCAGTCACTGGTGCCACCACTAGATGGACTTTGGAAGGCAGCTATGCTCACCACTATACCACCAACGCGCTTGACCAGATGGACTTTGGACTTCCTAGCCTCAGAAACTATAAGCAATAAATTTTGTTTTTCTTTATAAATCACCCACCCAGTCTCGGGTATTCTGTTATAGCAACACAAAATGGACTAATACACCTATGTTGGTGCTTCACAACTTAGTCATTACTAAGAAAAGTGGATGTTTTAGAGTTAATAACAAATGGAACATGTTCACTTCAGCTGCTTGGTAAGAAGTCAAAAAAGCATAACAGAAAACCAGAAAAGATGTCAGTTGGCAGGAAAAGAGTATAGCTCTCCAAGGCCCCTCTAGAGTAGTACATGGAGAAGCTGAGATAAACTGTCCGCAGATAACTTACCTGGGCAAACTTGTGAATCTGCTCTACCACTGCGGCAAACAGAGCATGCACACTTTCATCAATGAGACTCTGCATGTAATGCACCGCCTCTTCATCGGACAGGTCCAGACGGAATTTATCTTGAACCTAAAAGAAACAGTCTGTTAGGTTTTTAATGGAAAAAAAAAAAAAAAACATATTTCAAAGAGATAGAATCAAACTGATACAGATAGATTACTATATACAAATAGCCACTTCTATGCTAAATAAATGATCTGTGACAAAGAGGAGTACCAAATGCCATTGAGTGTGGAAGTTTACTGTTTTTGTTATCACCCTATTCTTGCTGGTTGTAAACACTTTTTAAGGAAAAAAAAATAAATGAATGAAGTGGAAAATTAGATTCTATCAGGGCCTCAAAATTTAAAAAGAGAAAAAAAAAATTTTACCTTTATTTTTTTGAATTTCAAATCTAGAACTCCTATATATGACTTAAATTGAGACATATTAACAATTCCCATTCTCTTTATCCCCATTACTCATTGTGAAATGGATGTAGTAAGGTGAGATTATATTAATATTATTCCCCCATCTTCATGGCCTATACAAGAACAGGAATTATGTCAATCACTGGCAAAATAAGAACTAGATTTTTTAAAATATCTCCTTTCCTACAGGAGTTTCTTGTACTCCTGCAAAGGAACACTTCAATGAGTCTATAATTTCTAAAGATAAAAGAACTTTTCTTTTAGTTCATAGTTAAAGTTACAGTTGATTTTCAATTGCACTAGGTACTAAAACTTAATGTGTGTGTATCTATATGTTTACATATAGATAAAAACTGGCAACCTAACAAATAAAAGCCAATGTTACTGAATGACTACTTTGTGTAAAACACAATGAAAAACACTATACATGTAACATTTCATTTGACTCCCAGATGCCCCTGAGGTAGACAATATCTCCATCTATATCATGCAGATATTGAGGCACAGATAATTTATGAAGCCAACCCAGGGATCCTTAACTGATGATAAACGGTTCATGCATTCAGACAATCTCATGCCACTACACATAACCACTACACTCTACTCCTTTCTCCTTTTATAAATGACCCATATATACTTCTGAAAGACAGGCTAGAAGAAAATGGGATTTCCAAGTGGATGGAATGTAGTCCACATTCAGTATGTCCTTTTAAGTACAGGGTTTAGTTACTAGAAAACTGGCAAGAAGGAAGGACAGATAGTGTAATAACCCACAGCCCCTGGTCAGTACTTGTCACTTCATTGGATTGGAGACAATCGATAGCTCTGCAGCCTCAGGATAGGAGAGGTAAAAGAGAGGTATATGTAAAAAGTGAAGGAAAATTTGGTGGAGGGACATCTAAGGGTCTATCTTCAATGAACTCTCTCTCTCATTTCTGGATCCCAGATAATGACAAACATGTTCCTTGAGTTTAATCCTTTGTTTTCCTTGACTTCTACTTAGAGCATGTATGACAATTTCTGAACTATTTTTAAGGACATTAAAAAAAAAAACAACTATGGAGCAGGAGAATTAAAATAAACCTTTAGCCCAATTTATCAAAGCTTAAACACTTGTATAAGTGCCCAAATTACAAAAAGAAGATACATACTTGGCATAACAACATTACTTACCAAATATGAAAATATTTTCTTTTATAACAAAGGTTAACACTATTTACCAATTTATGTTAGGCTACCTGTTACTGCCCTCTAGGTTCTTAAGGTTCTAATAATTTTCTTCAAGCTATACTCTCTCTGTTCTTCAGATTATATAATTTCTACTGATTTATCTTTAAGATCACTGACTCCTAAATACCAAGCCTATGCAATTAATATTTCATTTTAGCTACTGTACTTTCAGCTCTAGAATTTTCATTTTGTTATTTTTTCTTCCTAGTTTTTATTTCTTTGTTGAGATCCCCATCCGTTTAGTCCTTATGCATTTATTTCCCTTAAGCCCTTGAACATATTTATATTATCTGCTTTAAAGTCTTTTTCTGGTGGTTGTGGCATCTGGGTCTTTTCAGAGTATGTTTCTACCAACTGCTTTTTTTCACTGACTTTGTGTCACATTTTTCTGTTTCTTCACATATCTAGTGATTTTTTAATAGATAATAGACATTCTGACTGATGTGCTATAGACACTCTGAATTCTGTTGTGTTCCTGAGAAGATTCATTCTAGCAGGCAGTTAACTTGGCTGAAATGAAATCCAAAATATGTCCTCCCTGTGATGGACAATAGCTGAAAACTCTGCTCAGTTCTTTAAGTTTCTAGCTACTGCTCCCTCCTCAGCTGCGACTGCAGGTTCCAAATTGTTTCACATTTGAGAAAATTTTATATGCAGGAGGGCACAATTCCTCTGTGACTTTTACCTTTCCAGAATTTCTTGCCTAACTTCTCAGCTATCCTATCAGTTCCAAACTCTATCCTCTTACATCTCATCAACATTCCTACATCCCAAACAATCTAGAAAGTACAAGCAAAAGGTCGCAAACTTGCCATTCTTATTCTCTACTGTTCACTTTTCAAAGACAGACACGCTCTGTGTTTATGTCTGGTTTTGGTTACTCCCCAGTGCCTCCAAATAGTATTTTTTATTTTTACCATAATTTAAAGTTGTTATCTGGATCAGTCAGTGTCTTTGAAAAAGAGTACTTTAATGCTTAGTACACTGGGGATATATCAGAAGACGAAGGAAAACAACTTAATATCCATAATGTCTGTTTCTTCATCTTGTAAATAAATGCAATCACCACCCTCAGTTCTAAAGATCCACTTGCAATCTTGCAGTGTACTGAAACCATGAAGAACATATATATGTATGTTTAGTGAAAAAATCAATTTAGAAGAATACATCCATTTAATTATTCAACATGAAATAGTATTATCTTGTTAAATTACTTTGAGCTCATTACCACACTTAAAAGGTTTCTTTTTAATTACTGAATTAAAGAAAAACATGAATAAAAAGCACTGACTGTCATGAGTCTATTAAACTAGTTCTACCTTCTCTTTACTGTTGTTATTTATTTATTTATTTACTTATTTATTTATTTATTTATTTACTTATTTATTTATTTATTTTTCCTGAACAGAGTCATATATATCAAAAAGCTTAGAAGATTTACAACTCCTTGATAGGCAATTTTCTTTGCACACACTATCCCTAGCAGCAAAGTTAATGATTTGCTAGAGAATATATGTTTTTATCTCAAATGTTTTAAGTTTTCTTCATTCATTAATGCATTCTATAGAAGTTGAACAAAACATCTGATTTCCATACCACATGCTTACAAAATATCTTTTTAATTTTTTCAAAAAAAGCCAACTCACACCTTCTCAGTGAGTTACTGCCTGGCCACCAAATCAAAAATTTCCAACACTACTGTCAACCCCTTTCATTCTCCTCTTTTATTTTTTTCCTTCATAACATTGATCACTAATAAGCTATACATTTTACTTACTTTATGTTGTTTCTTGTGTATCTCCCTTACTAAAAAGGTAGCTCCATGAGGACAGGGAATTTTGCTCTATTTATTTCAATAACACAAACAGTGGGACAGTGCTTGACAAACAGCAAACAGCTCAAAAAGTATTGTGGAGTGAATACACAAAGTATAAAAAAAATTCATGTGAAAGATATACTCAAACTGTAGGACAATGATTACCCTTAAGATAGATGGTGAGTGCAATTCAACATTAATTGCATTTTCATTCATTAATAAGAAGATCTAAAGCAAATAGGGCAAAATGTTAACATTTGTTGAATATGTGTTGTGGGTAATGAATATTTGTTATATGAGCATCTGTATTTTTTATATGATTTAAATATTTAATGTAAATATTTATATCAAACACAAACGTATCTATATAACAAACTAATGTGATCTGCTTGCTATCTGTTGGAAATTAGTCTATCCACTATGCTTTCATTATACTAACACAATAACACTTTGTTTTTATCAATATGTAATATTTTTATTAGACTACCTGGAGAGCTTTGTTCTAAATTTAAAGGAATAAAACAATTTTTCAGCAAGTTTCTTATAGAATCAAGCAATGGGTAGCATACTAACTTACTACTATGAGGCATTCAATCGATACTTATGATTGATAATTATGTGTTTAAAATTTTGACCCTGTAAGGGAGAAAAGATTTCTCATCCATCACAAGCATGGTTGAGACTCCTATAAAAAAAAACCAGATTAACAAAGCAAAAGCATACAAATTTATTTTATATAAACTTTAAGCAACATGGGAGCCTTCGGAAACAGAGAAAACTGTATATTTTATGCTAAGTCTGATATAGAAGTGGATACTGGTTGAGCATTCCAGATCTGAAAATCTGACATCAGAAATGCTCCAAAACCCAAAACTTGTTGAGCACCAACATGATGTGCAAAGGAAATGCTCACTGAAACATTCTGAATTTCGCATTTTCAGATTTGAGATGTTCAACAGGTAAGTATTCTGCAAATATTCCAAAAACTGAAAAAGTTCAAAATCTGAAACACTTTTGGTCCCAAGCATTTCAGATAAGGGATACTCAACTCATAGCTATAGAGGGACTTTATTGAACAAAAAAGGGTATGACCTAATGGTAATAAACTGGTGGGAACTGTTTGTTCAGATTCTTCTTAGCATTCTTCTTAGCATCCTCCAGGTGTAGGGGAGGGCCCCTCTGCAATGAGGTTCTTATGACCTACTTTAGAGGAAGTTCAGAGAATTCTTCTGTGGCCCGTTTCAGGGGAGAACACTGGGAGATGGGCAGAGACTTTCCTGCTTCTACTATTTTCTCAAATGTCAAGGTGCCATTTTGGGGATAGCATGTCTTGAACCCTGTCAACTTCACATTTTTGGTCAATCATGTTTTCTAACAAATAAGCAAATTTGATTAACAAAATTGTTAGGGTGAACCCTGTCAACTCCATCTTCACATTTTTGGTCAATCATGTTTTCTAACAAATAAGCAAATTTGATTAACAAAATTGTTAGGCATTCCACATACAATGAAACAGTTTCCAAAAGACTAAAACAAAATTGATACATATTAAAATAAGTTATAGATGCAGGAAAATAACATTGCACTTTTTTTTACAATCACTCAACTTAAATAATCCATGTTTCTTTAAAGATTTGGCCTCAAATGCACTACTCTGTCTAGCTAGTTTCGATTTATGAGGCAAACACAAAAATTTTCCAAGTAGTGATACTTTAAAGTAATGTTAGCAATCATTATTTCATCAAAGTATAAAAATCTTCTACTTCTTGAAAAAACCAACCAACATAAAATCATAAATTTTAGACTATTCCAGCATAACTTTCCAACATTATGATTTTGTGGTCAAGTTTATGTTGCAGTTGGTTACTTCTCATTCTTGATAAAACATCAGAAAGCAAAGAAACCTTTTATGAAATACACTTTTGGGAAAAAATATGGTGTATGCCTTTTTAAAAAAGATTCCTTTAACTGAAACTGGAATAAACAGCTAGGGAGTACTGGCCTAAAAGAGAAATGACTAATGAAAATGCTTTTGTTTTTGTTTTTCTCAGAAAATGAATCACTTCATGTTTTAAAAGATAATGCTATAAAGGTAGCTGGTAGCAAAAAGAATTATAAAGATTTCCTAAAATAGAAAGAGATGGAACAAAAGATCTAATAAGAACAACACAGTTTAACTGGCAGAAGAAATTGTCAGACTCAGTTTGACAAATACTGTTAGAACTTTCATAAATGACTTCTGAACATGAGTGAAGTTAGAAGAGAGTAAACATATGACAGAGATAAAATAAATGGGTTTAAAATAAACAGCAAAACAGACCCTGAATATAGCAGATGCAAAAAAAAAAAAAAACCCCCCAAAAAAACCATTTGAAATCTGGTGCAGCCATCAGTTATAGAAAAAAATTTCATCAACCAATTACATTTCCTGATGGATGAGCTCCAGTCAATAAAAAATGACTAAAGTGACAAAACATAAGACATTCTAAAAACTTGCATGATAAGTGGTCTATTTCCTATTGGGGGAAAAAGAAGTTTTTATTGAAGTAGTGCTGGCTGGATAAAAAAATAAGTGTAATCCTAATAAGAGCACAATTTTCTAAAACGGTTAAGTAATAAAATATTTACATTAAAATTCTTCTCACTGCTTTCTAAAGACTTAAAAAAGACTTCAAAAATTAGAAAAAAGAGATCAGTCTCATTCATGTTCAATCTATAGGGGTATTTAATAATGTCCAGAATCAGTTATGTTAGAATTTAAGTCTTTTTGGTGCTATTTAATATTTTCAACCACCAATACAACTTGCTGAGATTGCTATCACTTTTAGTGATTTTATATTTCTACAAGTTAAAAAGCTACACTTTCTTTCTTTAAAGTTAATATTGATAATCATACGGATAATTATGATCATCTTATATTACCTTTCGACAAATAAAGTGCTTTACATATACCCCACCCCTCCAATGAATAAGAGAATCAGAAATTAGTTCAGATAAAAACTTTCTAATCCACTGCCTTTAGATAATTATGATCATCTTATATTACCTTTCGACAAATAAAGTGCTTTACATATACCCCACTCCTCCAATGAATAAGAGAATCAGAAATTAGTTCAGATAAAAACTTTCTAATCCACTGCCTTTCTTCCCTTGTCTTGCTAGAACTCGAGGTAAGACAGCTGTGAATCACTGTTCATCTACACAATGGCTTTCCCTTGTTGTTCTCTTTGCAGGTCTCTACTCTTCTGACATAGTAAGAAACTCCTGGAACAAAGGGTATGGATGAGAAGAACAAGGAATGTCTGTTTTCTCCTATATGGTATTACATCCTTAGCATGCTTTGACTGGGAGTGCCAGGAATCAGGTATCCTATACAGAATATTAAAGGAAGAGCTAAACTTTTCAGGACTAACAGCAAGTATTGTAGTAGTAAGCTGTCTCTCCAAATATGGTGATCTATTCATGTGACTACTGGTACAAACAGGGAAGGGACAGAACTGGTTGCAGAAGACTTGAGAGGTTGGTTGCTATGTTCTGGAATATAAAAAAATTATACAAAAGGTCTCTTTATTTATGTTACTTAAGAGTCAAGGGGCTGGGACAACAGGAGAAATGGGTTGTTAAAAGCCTAACATCTTTTATATATAAAAAGCAGACTGTGATACCGCAGATGTATAAAAATTACCTTTTTCACAGTTTTATCTGGTTCAAGAGCAATATCTGGAATGTTGGCATCGACCATCAATGAAAACAAGTTCAAAATCAGATTAGAATACCTAAAGGAAAGCAGAAAAAAAAAAAAATAGTAACAAGTTAGAATTTTGTATTTCTTTCTCATATCAAGAACACCTCTGGAAGTAGTGGTACTTGGATCTTTATAATGATTACTATTACTCCAAAGGAAAATAAAATATGAAACTACTCATCAGCGGTCTCAATGAAAAGCCAGCCTTGAAAAATCATCATATCCTGGGTTCTTCATAACACCATTTCTATGTCCAACAGTCTGGAACAAACTTTTGGAGTAAACGTCTAATAATGACATTCTTTTCACTCTTTGTTAAGTATATTCTTCTTAGTAGGGGTCTGAGGAGAGTCCACTTTATATCTCATCTGCATTTTATAACAATGAAAAGATATCTTTGTTAGATGATGATGATAATTTGCTACCATAAGACTACTTCAGTGTGCCATGGCTAAATGAATGAAAGAGAAATAATGTCATCCCATGAATCACTCATGAGTATCTTCCAGATATACTAATCATGATTTCAGGAACTAAACTGATAATCATTCATGAGTATCTTCCAGACAGACTAATCATGATTTCAGGCCTGGATATAAGTAATCTTAAATGAAAGAGAAAATAGCTAGTACTCTACTACATTAAAAATGGACAAGATATCTGAATGATGATATCCTTGGAGTATTCTGGCCTCTAACAGGAACTGACTGTTTATCATCACAAATTTCAAACTCTTCCTCTTCTCCCAAATAAGGAGAAAGAATGCTACATTCTAAATGCTCATTTCCAGAGGTGGTGGCTTGTGGGGAAAGGTGTGAATAAGTCTTTACTGGGCATGCTCCACCTCCTGCTCCAAAATACTCTCCTCTTAGGTAGTTATTATGCTCTGGGTGGCCCCTTCTTAGCACTGTGATGATAAAAACAGACTCAGGTTTAACTTTGGGGATAAGTGTGAATAAAGGAAGCTTTGGTTTTAGGCAATGAAGGTCTTTAGCAGTCTCAGTAAAAGTATCAACACAAGTGCCTAGCACTCTCTTCTCCAGAGGAAGAAGGCCAGGATGAGGGTGATACAGAATCTTTATTCCAGCCATCTACCCATCTAAAATGAAAAAAAAAAAAAAGGACAAGATGTCACTTTAAAACTGTTGTACTTGGGGCTGACCCCGTGGCGCACTTGGGAGAGTGCAGCAGCGGCGCTCCCGCCGCAGGTTCGGATCCTATATAAGGATGGCCGGTGCGCTCACTGGCTGAGCGCGGTGCGGGAGACACCAAGCCAAGGGTTGCGATCTCCTTACCGGTCACAAAAACAAACAAACAAACAAAAAAAACTGTTTTACTTGAACTGTAATGATAATGAAACATATACAAAAATGACTATCCACATGAGTTTCAAATTACTCATTTTATCATCATTTCTGAATTTCATATTGCTCATGAAAAACAGGAAGAACTATAATGAAAACTTCTAACCTGACATATTCTTGTAATCAAATTAGGCCTTAACTCACTATACTCTTAAAAAAAAAAGTTATAAAATGGCTAAACAGCTTTAACCTAGTTTTAAGTTACCGATTTCCTTGTGGGAAATATTAAAACAAAAACAAACAAAACAAACTTTTATTCATTCAACAGACAAATATTTACTGAGCACTCACTGTATACACTGTTCCAAGCATTAGGGATACAGGGGCGAACTGAACAAACAAGGTCCCTCCATTCATGAGTTTACGTTCTGGAGGAGGGTGGGGGCTCATACAATAAACTGATAAGATAATTTTATGTCTGGTTGACTGATACAAAGATTTTAAAAAGAAAAAACAGGGAAATGGGTCAGTGATTGATAGAGTGAGGAAAGAAGGAGCCATCTTAAGGAGGTATTTTATTCTAAATGCACTGAGAAGCAACTGAGTTTAAAGAGTGCAGTGACACATTCTGACAAGTACTTTCAAAAGCTCACACTGGCCATCTTGTGGGGAATAAGAATAGAGGTAGAGAAATTGTATCACAGATTTCCAGATGTAAAAGAAACAACATGGAGGGTATTAGGGGTATATTCTGAAAATGGAGTAGACAATATTTGCTGATAGTTTCAACGGAGGTGGGGAGAGAGAACAGAGGCACTGAATGTCACAAAGGATTTATCCTATGTAACAGAACACTACTGTAATTCACCAAAATAGGAAATACTGAATGGAGAAGGGACTGAATTTTAGGCAGGAAACCTATAATTCTGTTTTAGATATTGTGAGTTTGAGATGCCTGCTAGATTCTTAGTAGACATGTCAAGTAGGCAATTACATATATTCAGAGGAGATATTAAGTCTGGTGGTTTTGGTTTAAAGCCATCAGCATTTGGATCATATTTAAAGTCACAGGACTAGATGAAGATGGGTAAGAGAGTTTAGGGGGAAAAAAAGATCCAGAACTAAACACTTTATAATGATAATGAAACTTCTACACAGTTCAATATGTAAAGGTCAGAAAGAAAATGGAAGAAATCAATAAAGAAGCAGGAGACACCAGTTAGGCAGAAAGAAAACAGGGAAATGACACCAAATCTGAGATATGATTTCAGGAACAGAGGTGGTCAGCTGTGTCAGAAGCAGCTAGGATGCAAAAGTGAGCACTGGATTTGGTATAGGTAACTGTTTACCTTGATTAGCTTCAATAGTGGAGTAGGAACGGAAGCCTTACTGGAGAAGACTGAAGAAAGTAAAGGAGGCAAGTTAGTGGAGACAGTGACAACACACACCGGAGAAACAAGGTAGTAGTCCAATGTTCAGCAATATCCCTGGTCTCTCCCACTAGATGCCAGGAGCACTCACCAGCTGTGACAACCAAAAAATGTCTCCAGACATTGCCAAGTGTGCCCTGGGGAGAGGAGAGAATGCAAAATAGCCCTGTTGAGAAACACTGATTTAAAACCAGTGGTAACACCACAACTGTTAGATTTTCTTTCCTAACATACAGCTGTTGCACTGTATGTATGAAATAGTTTTGACCAGAGTTGTGGTTTCAGCAGGTGGAGTTACAGGACTAAATAAAAATGCTTAAAAGAGAGTTTAGAGGAAAGAGCAATAGTTTGGAGCCATAAAATTCAGTGAGGAAAAGAAAAAAGTGAGAATATGCGGTAGATATGTATGGTGGTAGGGTGATGAGACTGGAAGTATCAATGAGGTGGAAGACTTGTAGGGCACATCTAAAAATGAGCTGTAAGCATACAAAGTGTTGTTCAGAGAATAGAAAGCTTGGGATTGAGATTTCGGAAGGGTAAATTTACTAGTATTGATTGAAGGGAGTGGTCAAGGCTGGTTCTAAATGAGGAGGACAATCCCTTCTGAGGCCAGATCACTGCTGGACCATCCATGTGGAGGTTGAAGTCACAGCAATAGTCACAAAGAAGACAGTGAAAGTTTTCATTGAATGAGAGTGATGGGGAGGTAGGCAGATGACAGTTAGCAGTGGGTAATACATCTGACTGTGTGATCTTCAATGCAGTTATGTGTGCCTACTTTTCTTCTTCTAAAGGTGATCCACTTGAGAGCGCTGCAAGGAACGTGGTATCAGCAGAGTACAGCCAGCTGTTAAGTATTACGTTATGAAAAAAAGATGCCCTTTCAACTAACTCTCAATTATTCATACTCTGCTTAATCTGATTATACGCGGTTTCTTCCCATCTTGTCATGAGAGAATCCTTAGAAATTTACCACAGGGAGGAGAATATAAGATTCAATTTTGAAAGGGATGTATCACAATTTCTCAAAACCGAATGTCCATTAGAATCTCCTGGGGAGCTTCTTAGACATATCACTGTCTAGGCCCAATCCCAGACCATGAAATCTGAGGGAGCCCAGAACTGCTCCCCAACACCTCCTCCACAAGCTCCCCAGGTGATTCTAATGGGCAGCTGGAATCTATGTTAAAATGTCTACCTTTATGGAAGCAGAACATGTTTCTTTTTTAAAATGCAAACATTAATGCTTTCTGGATTATGTGATGGTTTAAATTTAACTACCCATGCTTCCATTGTTAGAGCAAAGGAAACAGAATTAAATAAATATAAAACAGAATATTCTATAAGAAGCTTAAACATCCAAATAGTTTGTGGATAATTTGTCATTATCTTAACTGTACTTATCTTTTACATCTGTTGCCACTAACCTGTATTTTCTATTTCAGAAAGAACAAGTAAATGAAAATAGAAAGTTCATATTAAATAGAGTAGCCATTTAATATCCTATCCAGAAAAAAACAGATTTAAAAGTTACCAGAAATCTTTAAACTAGTATTGAAAGACAATGGAAAGATAAGGTTAAAAAAATAATGGTGTGGTGAGAAAGTGTATAAAATTGAGTCTAGACAAAACTTGTACGGGGGTATTTTGAAAAGTTTGTGGAAAAATAGACTTGAGAGATAATACGAATCTTTCCATGAACTTTTTGAAGTATCCTCATATGGAGGGATGTAATATAATTTGGATTTTTAAAAGGGGTTGAGTATACCGTTCAAGGAAAATGCACTCTTTCTTTTATCCATGTTTATGCCAACCATCATGCTATACACTAGTCATTCAAAGATAGTTTAAATTTTTCCAGAAAAACCATCAAAACTGAAAATAGAAATGCATTTAACTATATGAGTTGAGGCTCTTACAATATTTTAGGTCTATTTCCCCTGCATTCTGTCCATTCTGCCACAAATATCAAAGTTGAATCCCATAAAAATATTTATTTAATAAGTGTCATCACTATTTCAAAGAGGAGAAACAATGCAGTTAATGATGAAAGGGAGTGTGACCAACAAATTCACTGATCTTTGGTGACTAGGCAAACATCCTCTCAGACAATATAAGAACCTTGCTTGATATATTTAAATGCACTCCAAAATTCAGTATTAGAGGTTTTTACCCAAAAATGTTGGCAATCTTTTTTATCATCAGAATCTAGAATGGTGTTTGGCATAAACATGGGTTAAAAGAATCATGTTTTCCTTGAATGCTTAAGATTTAAAATGTCTTAGTACTACTACTGTTGTCATTAGAGTTGAAAAAAATAAATTTACTAATTAATTACTGGTGTAATATGTACTGATTAATAAGAGATGATCATATATTTTGTTACATGAAAATGAGCACAGCATTAAATATGTCCTCACATTTGCACAACTGTAACCATTCATAACTTAGTTCTGCTTATATGATCTGGTGTTACTCAAGGGTTTCTTGTTGAAGAAATTGATCAGTAACCAACAAAAACCATAAAAGAAGGTGGTTGGTCATAATTTCAAACCCTAAATAATAAAAGCATCATATAATCTTACCTCCAAACAAACTTCTGACTATCACATTAATTCTTAAGTACTAAAGGCAATTATTTTACTAACTGAACCATACTCTAAAATACAAAACATTAAAAAATAAATGTCTATCGGGAGGGGTGAAAGAAGAACAGGTAAAGGATCATGAAATCAACTACAATGAATATCGAGAAGTTAAAATAAACAAATAAATAAATTAGTGTTGATCAAAATATTCAGGTCCTGCTGATCTTATCTGAAATACAGTTAAAATTTTAAAATTAAAAATAATTTTCATAAAAACTTAACATAAGATTATTTAATCACTTTGAGATGAAGAAAGTTAACTTCATTAACTAAATTAATAACCTGCCTCTGTTTTTTCATTCTACTGAATTACTACTAATCCATTACTAATGACAATTTATAAAGAGCACATTATTTTCCTTCTGCTTTCAATAAGATAAATCACCTCTGACATTTCTCTAGTTATGGTTCCACATCATCTTACCTGCCACCTCACCGAGATCACTATGGTTCTACCTAGTTTTCTATTAGCTTTGACCATTTTAAATAAAAAATCCCAGGTGTTAAAGTGGAACTCTTATCTTTCTAAAAGTGCTTTTACATCACCACACACATCAAAAGAGCACTGATCTTCTCATTGTTCTTACAGCATCTCTGGAAAGTAAAAATGAGCTATTATCCACTCAAAAAAATAAATAATAAAGCTACTGTAAAATGCATATTACAGAGTCTGTGATACATGGAAGAAACTGAGTTTACAATGAAGACCTAGTAATTTCAAAAATAAAACCTGATTAGTATAGACCAACAATATCAGCATCACCCAGGAACACAGCTTCCTCACCCCAGACCTAAATCAGAAATTCTAAGGGTTCTCATATAAATACTGCTGTCATCCAATAAATGTATATTAAGTACCCGTGTTCCAAGCACTAAATGAATAATTGAAGTTACAAAGACAAAGAAGACAGAACCCATGTGTACAAGTAACTCCCCGTCTATTGGTTATATTTTCACCAGAAGACTATGCAGGCATGTCTCCTGGACTGGAATTTTTAGCCAGACTAAGAAAATTTATTTTGCAGTTAGGCTGGAAACAGCATTAGAGTCAAATGATCCTGCCATTTTTGACTAATCATCAGAGCCATATACTGAATTTAACAAACATGCCTTATTTTTTTCCTGATGATATATGATATTCAGTCCTAAGTAAATTAGTCTGAAAGAAGCATAGATATAGTGACATTGAAGAAAAAAGGAACAGAGAAAAATCAACATTTTTATATAGCAGAATGACTGATGAGGTATTAAAAAAGAGACAAAATCACATGTAACATTTACTCCTCAAACATTAAACAAACTTCTGAATGTTCCTGAAGAGCACCCAAACTGAGACAGATAAAGGCGCTAAAAAAATAAAAATGACTGAACTAATATCACTCTAAATAAGGTGAATCCTTCATTCTTTGATTAAAAAAAAAAATGGGAGGTCAATTAGGGAGAAGGAAAAGAACTCAGCACGGTGATTATAATCCTCCAGGACTGCTTTCAGGGAGATCTGAATGGTATAAAGTTACTTAACTTTCTCTCTATCCCACTACCAACAAGTATACAGAGCGTACTTTATTAAATGTCAACCACTGACTTTGAGGCCTCCATAATTAGTGGGAAATGGTAATGGGTAATTAGTGGGAAAACAAGAAATTTTATATCTTTTTTCTTTGATATCAGACTGAGTATCAAAATAAATATCAAATGTATATTAGGAAATATTTGTTACCTGTGTTATTCTGATAAAGAGATTAATGCTAGAGAATGCACACATTTGAACAAGTACTGCTCTTGTTCTATAAAATAAATTCACCAAAATTTTCTATGTCACGCAAATTGACTTACCTTCGAAGGTGGAGAAAAGCCGTGTAACACTGTTTCCGGAACTCTTGGTACTGCTCACTCTGTGTGCCCCCCATTCCTTCCACCATCTCTTTATTCAGCTTCATTGGAGGAGGAAGAGGCTTCGGATCCCGACCCAAAATATATCCAAAGTCTATGTGGAAGAGTTTGCCTGGATGTTGACAAAAAACTCATTTGTATCCAGAATTGTCTTAAAAAACTGGGAAGGGGATATGTCATACAACCGGTATAAGAAGTATCTGTTCATAAAGAGTATTAATTCATGAAAAAGCGCATTAAATTGTTTGATTTTCTAACTCCTGGCTTGGGAGTGGCCTTTAGGAATATTTTAGTTCATTTTAACTCACATTCATTCAGATAAAACTACACTTAAAATCAAACCACAGTAATATTAATTTAAAAATTTAAATCCTATTTTTAGGTCTCCAGAATCAAAGATGGTCAAAGCCTGGACAACTTTTTAAGGCAGGCATCAGCAGAAACTAGAATCTTGTGGCAAATTTCTCATGCTCAGGTTTAAGCAAAGTGTCCTTCATAATGGAAGACTATTTCTTTCACTTAAGTTCTCCTGATATGAACCCTTCCTTTAACTTATCATTACTCAAAAAACTCATGCTCAGGTTTAAGCAAAGTGTCCTTCATAATGGAAGACCATTTCTTTCACTTAAGTTCTCCTGATATGAACCCTTCCTTTAACTTATCATTACTCAAAAAACAAAACAAAAACACACCCAAATTTCAAATTATATTGTTAAATTCAGTTGAACCATTTTCACCTAATCTGTGTCACTCATTAGCTGGAAACCAAAAACAGTATTCACGTCTGCCAAGAGCTGAAAACAGCTGCAGTGCCCACTACAGCAGTCACCTAAATTCATAAACAGACATGTCAGAATGTGATAACTCACTCTAGAGTATGAAAGTCACCACAGACTTCTGACTTACAAGTATGTATAAAGCAGGGGAATATTTAAAACAAAAAGTAACCTCATGGATCCTACTCAACAATTGAAGCTCCGCCGAGGCATGGATTTAGGATTTTTGCCTCTGTTGCGCATTGCTGTAACCCAGTCTCAGTAGTTACTGGCACATAGTAGGCACTCATTGCTGAATAAAGGAAAGAATTCACTAAAAAGCCAGAGGAAAATCTCTCCACTGCAACCTGCCCACTCTCATCTGTCTTATAATACATTATGACTTGTTTTATGTGGAAATCTATCCTTTTTCTTGTATTTGGGAAGCTTAGATTTTTCTTCCTAAAGGGCACCAGCCAACACCGTTCCTTCTAGAAGTGCATTTATTGGATTTTTGCACACTTCTGCCATCTTGCAAAATACTTTACACACTTAACTCTCCTGTTAAGATGTTAGCTGTATACTTCTACCTTTTTCTCTGAACATTATTACTATTATCTATAAATTTTAAACTCCATAATTAGGTCACTGTGGGAAATTAAATTAAACAATCAAGGGTACAGACTGATTCTGGTTATAAGGCAATGAAGTCCCAGGTCAGAGTGATGCACTGGCAGGAACTTTGAAACAGTAGTTGCCCTGTGGTACAAAAGACATCTTCATGTCTCACTTGATCAAATATGTGACCTTGACAAAGTTGCTTAACCTTTCCAAACTGCAAAGTAAGATAATACTGATAATTACCTCATGAGGCAGAGTTAGAAGAGACAATAAAACTGAAATGCAGTATGTGTTACACAATAAACACTCCAAATATTAGCTGCCATTATTCTTGTTGTTGTTGCTATTACTATTATTATTCCCAACTAAGTTACAGATGGGTGTGTAAAGCAAAATAACTAAAAAACCTCACTTAAGGCAAGAATCTACATCTACATTCTTGCCCCATTCTAGAAGGTATGTCACTAAAGTGAGAGGAGAATACCATTTCGTCTGACAGGACTTACAAAAACTAAATCAACCTATTTATTATCTAATAACCAGGTCTCTGAAAGTTGTTTGTAAATGTTTATGTTAAATACTTCAATTACCACTTAAAAATTAAAATTCCATACTTTATTCAAAAAAATTAGTATTCCATTTTAAAGATGCTTGAATATACGGAATTGATATGTATATTACATCTGAGATCACAACTTCCAGGAATTAGTAAAATTAAATATTAAAAAAATAAGCAACCTTACTTTTTGCATCTCTTTTAGGCATCTTTCTCACAAGGAAAAACTAAACAATTAAGTTGGAAATTTTACGCAATTTTGAAAATGAGAAGGAAGTTCAAATCTCCTATGGCCAGGTAATAAAAAAAGTCTGATTGTTAGGCAATAATGATACTAAGTTTAAGAAAAATTCAAAGTAGATAATGGCATTATTTTCATATTACAGTGAAGAAAACTACACTGTAAATTATCTGGACTTAACAGAAGTTGTATCAAATTTGGATCATGGTCTTCATATGTAAAGAGAAATAACAGCATGTGTATTAATGCTCGTAACAACAACTATCCAAAGTTTTAAACAACATTATCACTGGCTGTAGATTATGTAACTGTTGCAAAGAAAACCAATTTTCCATTTATCCAAATCAACTCCTCACCCTTTATTTTTTCACTTATACCAGGCTTAATATGTTCTGTTCCTGGTTAAGGTTTCACAGGAACTGATTTTTTTAAAAAAATGGATGTGTTTTTGTGTGTGTGTGTGTGTGTGTGTGTGTGTGTAGTATAGTATAGTAAATGATACATGGTAGAGGTAAGATGAGAAGGAATTACAATTAGATATAGATAGCAAGGAACCTGTAGAGAATGGAAAAATGGCTTTGTTCCAAAAAATAACAAAGGCAGTAACAGCTTGGCTAAATGATTCCTGTAGCTCATACTAAGGCTATCCATGTCAGCAGACATTTGGTATGCAGTTATTATGAGGCTCTTACCTCACCTATATGTATCAAAACTCCTTGGCTAAGTGCATATTGGAATTATTTGCTCGCTTATTTTTCTTCCTCCATTAAACTCTTAATGGATCACTAAGAATCTTATAATCAAGAATCTTGTTTTATTTATCTTTGTTATACTCCTGAAACCTAGGACAATGCCTAGCATACAGGAGCACTCAATGTGTCTATTTTGCATTTATTTAACCAATGATATCTTTTTTTTATTTTTTTTTCCCTTTTTTGTCTTTTTTCGTGACCGGCAACGGATCGCAACCCTCAGTGTCGCGCCCGTACCGGACCGGGACCGGCAACGGGATCGCAACCCTCGGTGCTGCGCCCACCCCTCGCTCAGCCAGTGAGCGGCCTGTCTGTACGTGGGATCCGAACCCTCGGTGGGAGTGCCGCTGCGCTCCCAAGTGGCGCACTGTAGCAGTGCGCCACCGGGCCGGCCCTAACCAATGATATCTTAATTCTGCATTTACAGCTCAGACATCATTTAATAACGCTGTTGATGTGAGATTTTCTAGAAGCTTTACAGTTCTTATAAGAAGTTGTTTTGTTTTCAAAATTTTGTGTTCTTCATTTCCATGATGATATATAATAAAATTAATAGAGGCCAACTCTAGATCATCTGGATGATACCTTACTATAGAGTACTGCCCTGTGATATCAGTGTCTTAGGCCTGGGTTGGTATCAAATAGCAATGCTATTTTAATTGTTGCTGGCTAGTACTAATAAAATAAAAGCACAATTTTGTTATACCTTGAAATTATGACAGCATCCTGAACAGATATTTTAAAGTAGTTCAAGTAGAGAAAAGTAGTACAAGAACCTACACGTGGGATATGATAGTAAAAGCACTCCTAATTCAAACTCACGCTATACTATCTGCACCATATTCACATTGTAAGTGACAATTTAGTTTCAATAATATATCACCTGTCTCATCAACGTTGTTAACTCAATTTTACTAGTTTGTAACACTGACTTACTTTATAAATCTGTCTTCATTTTATAGTTATGTGAGAGTAGACACACAAGATGTTAATCAGGTTTTATGTTGTATATGTTTAAGATTATAAAATATGTCAACATGGGGAGATTTATTTCCATTTAAAAGGGGCCTATGTATCACCGTGATTGAAAAACATCTTTTCATAATCCCAAAATGGGCTTCACTGGTCTCTAAGCACAATGAAGCTATTTTCAGCGATCCATACACTTTACCAGATTCTCAAGAGAAGTCCATGATTCAAAAAAATATGAGGAATCAGTTCTAGAATAAAGAATTTGGTAATTGCAGTACTCAATGGAAAAGCATCATCTCCTAATCTTTTAAAGTTCAAGAGGGGTATGCTATCATTTTAATTTTCCATAACTTGGTAAAGAGTCCACGATCAACTTCTGTTAAGAATTTTACCACCTTCAACTAAATGTGTATCTTCTGTTCAACTTAGCTAAGCACTTCTTTTAGTACTTCGCATTCTGGAGTTCCCATTTATTTTCTACCTTGTTGGATACACGGCATTCTACCCTTCAAGAGGTAAAAAGAGCAGAAGCTCACAATATTACAGGTGTAGATAATGCTCCTTGGTTTTACTTAAGTAATGTTTTGTTACTAACATAATTCCTAATGATACTCAGAACTTGAGCAGATAATCAATCTGATCAATCTTTTATACAAAACTGCCAACACACACAGTTTATTTAATAGGCTCCATGCTTTTTAAGAGAAAATCTAGTCCCAATTTCCTTCGTTTCATTAGAGGTATTACTGGAATTCTAATTTCATCTATGCATCACTGCTTGCAAATGAAGGATATATTTCTATCCTTTTTGTAAGAAAACTTTCAAAGAACAGGAATACTGCTTAATTATAAGGCATAAAATATTCAGTATCTAACAGTGAAACCATTATTATGCTTTGCAAGTTCAAAGAGCCGTGTATTTTGAAAAGAGGCTATTAATGTTTCAAGAAAATTCATCCTTGTACATACTAAAGGGAATGGTTTTTTTAAAGTTAATATCTGTAAATGAAACTTGTATGGATTTTAAAAATGCACTTCATGAATCTAAAAACTGTTTAATTAAGAAGTTTAGAGAGTGTGGTCTTATTCAAATCTATCACCTTAAACAATTGAGAAATAAAGTGTACATAACTATGGTCCAACTAGTTGTTGACCGTAATTGCCTCCTTTTGTCCCTGACTTGTAACACATAGGGAATAAGAGGTGCTAATTAAA